TTTTTCTTACTTTTCCTTTTTATTTTTACTGCTGTTCTTGTTTGATTATTATGTATTTGTCTATGTTTTATTATTTGATTTTATATTTGGAAGCCACCTAGAGTGGTCTGGTGGGCCAGATAGGCGGGGTCTAAATTAAATTAAATAAATAAATAAATAAGATACATACCTTCAATTTGTCAAATTTATCGTCCACATCCTGTAACCATGACATAAACTGTCTTGCATTAAATCGATCTCTAACTGATGTTTTACTGTCATCAGTCTGTAACCCAAAAAATATGAGAAATGAAAAGTAATGTTAATTACTTGATAATGCATTGCCATGTTGAACAAACTGTCTTTCTTGGACTTGCATACTTCAAATGCTAGGACTAATGACATCCATTTTATTCAAGAAGAATAACTGAAGACTTTATGTGCATTGAAGGGACGTGGTGGCGCTGCGGGCTAAACCGCAGAAGCCTGTGCTGCAGGGTCAGAAGACCAAGCAGTCGTAAGATCGAATCCACGCGACGGAGTGAGCTCCCGTTGCTTTGTCCCAGCTCCCGCCAACCTAGCGGTTCGAAAGCATGCAAATACAAGTAGATAAATAGGGACCACTTTGGTGGGAAGGTAACAGCATTCCGTGTCTAAGTCGCACTGGCCATGTGACCACAGAAGATTGTCTTCGGACAAAACGCTGGCTCTATGGCTTGGAAACGGGGATGAGGACCGCCCCCTAGAGTCGAACACGACTGGACAAAAATTGTCAAGGGGAACCTTTACCTTTATGTGCATTAAGACTTTACAATACAAACTTGCCACTATGAAATGGTCATCACTCTCTATACTATTCTAATTTTCAATCATTTCAGAATACTAGCAGCAATCATGTTACACTTGAAATATCCATTTAATACATTTGTAGATTTGTAAAATAAATTTAAATGGATTTCCATGGGCTATAAGAACTAAAAAGCTAAACACTTGAGAAAAGCTCTGATTAATCAGCAGAAAACATCTTTTACATAATGTTTGAGCCTTAATGTTACCCCTAACCACTGACAGAACTATTTTCTTTGAATGTTTTAAATCCTCTTACAAAGCCATCTGTCAGTGATCATTTCTATAAATTTTGTAAATTAATTATGTATTATACTCTTAGAATACTCTTAGAACTGCGGACCTGGATGGGGACCCTATGGATCATTGAGTCCAGCCCCTGTGAAAGAGGCACACTGAGGAATCAAACTCCCAGCATCTGGCTCTGCAACCAGATACCTAGGCCGCTGAGCTCTCCTTTGTTTCGTCTGTCAAGAATCAAGTGACAAATCAGTTTCATTAGGTAACTCTGAATTTTTGTCTCTAAACCGTGCATATTACATGTGTATTTACTTAATTATCAATGTTCTGATATATTAAAAAACAATAAATGATTCCACATTAAGACACCGCTCTAGCAGGGTGCTCAATTTAGCCTGCATCTTTTCAAGCTCCCTAATATCCTCTTGACACTGGACAACCAGAACTGTACTTACCACAACACAGTTTAAAAATGCAATGAAATTATAGATTCATATAAATGAATTATGATACCAGCAGTTTTAAGAACAAAAGAGTCACACCATAACAGACCAAAGATCTATAGTCCAACATTCTGATCACACAGGGGTAATCATTTGTCCATGGGAAGCCCACAAACGGGACATAGCTGCATAAGCAAGCAGCTTCTTGCTTGCTTCTTTGTAACTGATGCATAGACACATATTACTCTCTAGTAATGGAGGAAATAAATATATTTCCATCAGAATTAGAAGCTAGTGATAGCCTCCTCTTCCACAAATTTGTCCAGTTCTCTTTTAAAGCAATCTAATTTGGTGATCACTGTTACAGACGAGTTCTACAGTTTAGTTATTTGCTATATTTCCAATCCCTTCCCTAGTCACTTATACAGTGGTGCCTCGCATAGCGAGGTTAATCCGTTCTGGATTAACCTTTGCTATGTGAAAACTTCGTTAAACGGAAAGTAAAAAGCCATTGGAACGCATTAAACGATCGGCTGAAAACTCACCGTTTAGCGAAGTTTCCTGGGTCCGGCAGCCATTTTCGTGCCCTCGGTAAGCGAGGGGAGGGCGCGAAAACACTGCGCGCGGCCATTTTGGGTGTCCGGCGGCCATTCTGGAACCGCCGAACAGCTGATCCGCGGCGTTGCAAAGCGAAGATCGGTAAGCGAAACGCTTACCGATCTTTGCTATGCGAGTTTCGCCCATTGGGGCCAACGCGATGCCTCCACATTAGCGATCCCGGAAGAGGGATCGCTATGCGGATTCGTCGCTATATGAGGCGCTCGTTATGCGAGGCACCACTGTATTGTAGAATGTGTCCCTAGAGGCCTTTTCTTCAATAGAAACTGGTCAGAATAATGCTAGGAATTGTTGGGACTTGGAGTCATATTTATTTATTTATTTATTGGACTTATATACCGCCCCATAGTGCTACAAGCACTCTCCGGGCGGTTTACAATTTTAATTATACAGGCTACACATTGCCCCCCCAGCAAGCTGGGTACTCATTTTACCGACCTCGGAAGGATGGAAGGCTGAGTCAACCTTGAGCCGGCTACCTGGGATTTGAACCCCAGGTCGTGAGCACAGTTTTAGCTGCAGTACAGCGTTTTAACCACTGCGCCACGAGGCTCTATTTCAAGTCTGTGAAGTGACAATATGTTTTTCTATGGACTATGTGTGCCTGAAGCCACTACTTCTGCTTCCTCTACTGAAATATACATTTCCGGGGAGCTTTGAGGTAGGCACAGTAAGCGCTTTGTCCCCATTTAAGCGCTTTCTTCAAGTCTATTTTAAACATCTATAAAGCTCTGACCCCCTTTAGGATGAGCTCATGTGTAGACTCATCTGAAATCTCTCAGAAGTGTAAGTATGTTCTTATCTGAATTTTTATTGAAATTCTCAAGTAATTCCAAATGGCAAATGGTAAGGCAAGAGTTTTTGCAAACGTCATGCCAATTTCTTTTAACCAATCCAAATTCTTTAATGAAACAAACCCAGTTCAATTATTTCTAACAATTTACAATTGCAATCCAAACTCAAGATATACCAACTGGAGTGGGTTTCGAATGGGCAGAATCCTCTTATGTCAGCACGACTGCCTTTAAGCTGTCTGATCTTGGGAGGGGGGGTATCCTACTGGTAACTAGAAAGTTGTTGATTTGATGTAAGTAGATAATATTGTCAAACTAGCAACTACTCCAGCATGTTTAAAGTTATGAAATGATTTCAAGAAGGAGATTAAAACAGTAATATAAGTTAGTTACCACAGTATTTGATAAACAGCTTCTTTTTATTTTTACCTGAGCATCCATAGGCACATTATATACTTCAGCGTCCAGTAGTACTGTGCATGCACTGAATGGTAAAGTCTGATTAGCTAAAGTTCTTGCAGCTCGGTAATGGACACGCAATACTTCTTGCTCGTTAGAAACAATGAGCTTTTCCTAATTAAAGATTAAAAATTAAAATGCAGATTTAAAACATATAAATTGAAATAACAAACTAACAATCTTTGAAGTACAGATGTACACCTCCTAAATTTAAAGAAGTAGCTTTCCTATAGCACTATAAACTGGCAATAACTTCTTACAATTACAGATTCCATAAAAAATGTTAAGAAATTTTGAGACCCAATATAGAACAGGAGAACAATTTCTTGGATTTTAAATATATTTTTAATAGATGTTTAAATGTTTTAGACATCTTACGTATTATTGTGATTAATATGTTTTTATACAAAAACTGTGTCAAATAACTGCATATTTACAAATATCAGGAAGGTTGGTCCAAATGTTTGACACACGTCTCAGTGAATTAAAAGGGACAGCCCAAATGAGCACTTCAATGAATTATATAAACATTTTAACAATCACCACAAATATCAGTCATTCAAAATTAAAGGTTTTCTATGGTGTTTGTTTTGTTACACAAGGCAAAGTCCTGCAGCAACTGACAACTCCCGATTATGACAGGGCATACTTCTCACTCTCTTTAGTGCATGAGTTAACAACTTCATGGAGAGAGGATGTACACCAGTCATTCCTTGGCCCCAGACAGCTGCAACCACTCTGTGCCAGCCATTTACACATAACACTGGCCCTCTCCCATTTTAGGCCACAAAAATGGGAGACCTTTTCACCAAGATAGTTTATCATGTCAATTGAAGGATGCAAACTGAAGAACAACTGAAACATCAAGAACATAAATGCATTTGCTAATTGTTTCGAAACTTGTTTCTTCTCACGCATTCTCTTTAGAAGCATAAAGAGCTCCAAAGGAGAGGTTTGTTAATATTTTTTCTGTAGAATAAGCATCACCTAAGATTTTATCATAGTCTTACCCTTTCAATACTGTGTTGTAAACGAAGTTTCATCCTTACAACTTCTTGTTGTCTAAAAAGTTCTTTAAGTGGATCACACAGTGAAGGAGGTGGAGTGATCTGGGAATGAAACATCTTTTTGATATAACACTATATACTGTACATTAATATAAGGAAAAATGCAATAAACTGAAGAAATAATGGATAAGAAAATGTAGTTGCATTGGAATATTTGTCACAGTGTTGTAAAGCATGAAAGCATATTGTTTAATTCTTCTGTAACTTTAAAGGTACATGAGCCTTTTCAAGATACAAAACTGGAAGCTGGAAGCATTCTTTAAGTAAGTTACTTGGCGAAAACAGAACTTACAACTGCCAAAGTTCTTTTGTCTACCATTCCATTTTTGGAAACCAAAAATTGGCTGGCTAGTTCAAACCAAGATGAAAAAATACTGTTTACTGCCTTCCTTCAACAACTCTCTCTGCTTCATTTGTATTGGGACTTCTTCCCATGGAGCATTTCAGGTCTCAATTTCCCTTGTCTTGCCCACATTGCTTCCCCTATCTCTAGGCCCAGCACAAGATTTTACTCCAGAAAAACAAATCGTTTACAAGAATACCACATACTGATCAGAATGTTCATGAACATTATTACAAGATGTCACAGTGACTTGGAATATTATAACATGGCTATTTTGCCTTTTCATATTTGTAGTTAGCTTTACTAATCTGGTTTGAAACAAATGTTGATAAGCAATATTTATGAAGTATATGAATCTCTACTTTATATAGTATAACACTAGTTGAAGAGCATGCATTTATAAGCTGCATGTCCAACAAAGGTAAATGTTAGTGGATATACCTGCGTAAAAAGCTAAACCATAATTTAGTGTCATGAGGAGTACATGTGCTTCCCATTTCCTTTGGTTTAGCCACAAGGAAGCATTTGGAAGATTTTGCTTTGAGACAAACTGCAGCGTGTTATAATATCTGATGTCAGACACTAAAAGAAGCCAACTTTAAGTTGTGATATATGAAACTGCTCCACCCACAGTTCAGGTTTTAGATGCAATGTAAACTGGTTAATAAAAAACAGAAATGGAAACTTCCATAATCACACAGAGGAATGTGCATCTTTGTAATGCTGAACCATGATTTAACATTATACATGAATGTAGGCAAGACCATAATGACTGGTGTCAACAAATGAAGGATGCTTCCTAGTGCCTGTTCTCCATTACCCCCCCGTCTTCATTTAAGCAAACATAACTTCTTCTCAAAAACTGCAGAATCTGATTTTCAGTTTCTTTTTTTGTTAAGTTTCTTTTCATTTCTGTTATAAAAATCTCAATAAATTACTGATACCTAAGTGAGAGAACTGGTCCTCCGTGCTAGAGACGAAGAATAAGAGATAAGGATCATACTGAATCAGATATTTAGGGTTCAAAAAAAGGAAGCAACACAGCCTCTTTTTACCATAAACATTAAACTGTAAGTCTGAGGAGCAGCTACAATATAAAGCAAGCACATATACATCTGTGAATGAAGTGGCACTGAGAATGCACATTTGCTTTTTCAAATGAGTAACCAACTTAAAAAAACAACCCTGTAACACCTCTTTTTTAATTTCATAATTTCATTTGAAGATGCATAGGGCCAATATGTACTTCCAATAACTTTCTAAATTGTGTGAGCAATGGAACATAAGACGGCTATGAAGACATTTCCTTGGGGGAGTCAGTGTGAAAAATCAACTATAGTACAGTGGGGTCTCGACTTACGAATGGCTCGACATACGAACGTTTTGACTTACGAACCGCTCCCATAGGAATATATGGACTCGACTTACGAACTTAGATTCGAGTTACAAACTCTTTTTTTCCTTTTTTTTTTTAAAGCTAAGTCATCTTAGGTTAAAAGGAAAAAAGAAAAAAATATCCCCCTCTAGTGGCAGAAGGCAGAACAGCAGCTTCCCATTAGTTTCTATGGACGAAAAGAGCAGATACGGATTAAATGGTTTTCAATGCATTCCTATGGGAAATGCAGATTCGACTTAAGAACTTTTTGACCTGAGAACTGCCTTCCAATACGGATTAAGTTCGTAAGTCGAGACCCCACTGTATACAGGATATATTATATCTGTATTCTTTTTCTTTTTTATACTATCAGTTTGGCTGCACCATAAATTCGTATTTGTTTTCTAAGTGTTAGAAGACAGAAAAGTAGCAGCATAGCTCTTTTCCTGCTACATGGCAGTCCCTTCTCATCTCTTTGTCATTTTGGGCCACTTCTGAGAATCCAAGAGTGGTTTTTGCTTTCCCCTCAACTTTGGAGGGCAACCACTCTGATCCCCCCTTTTTCCTCTCAACATGCAAACTGCCCCAACCCCATCTCAGTGGGAGCACAAATTGCAGCTTCTGGGGAGCACAGCTCAAAAGCATCCACTTTTGCATAATGTACATTTCATTATTGTTACAGGGGTATGAAGAGCAATATTTGTAACTATCAAGTACAATACAGAACAGGATTGCAGTATACGCTGTCGGTGCAAAATGGTAAGACAAAGCATCTGATTACATTAACTCAGGCTAGAATAAACTGAGCTGTTTAGAAATAACTTAGAGCATATAATTCATTCTATTATAAGCCAAATGTCTAGTTACTTACAGTTGGAATACATATCTTGCTCAAGGGATTGCCATCTAAAAGGTATGATCCATTGAAAGTCACATATTCATCATAATACTGAGGTGCTTGAGGAATAACACTACATAACAATTTACGTTTCTCTTCTATTTTCTTTCTTATGTGCAAGTATTCGAAGTATGGATTTGCTCTCTCTGAACTGTATGGCTGAATATCTTCCAGTTTTAGAGCATCTACAATTGCTGCCAAAGACTGATGAGTTTTTTCTTTAGCTTGCATTAAAGATGGATTGACTTGCACAGGCTGAGGAACACGTGACAACTTTCTTTTACGTGGATGATGTGCTTGGGCATCCTCCTCCTCAGTTAACCTTATCCTTCCTTTTATGGAGGCACATGATTCTGAATCTCTTTCTGATGCCTGGGGGCAACAAGTAATGTTCTGCTTACTCTGATTAGCAAGCATATTTGCTCTGTTTCTTGTGATTCTTTGAGGAATTTCATACTGTTGTGCTTTATGGTCTTCCATTGCTTCCTCCAATTCAGATTTAATAACAGGACTATATTTATGCACTTCATGTCCAGTCAACTGTGAATGGTTTCCCAGAGAAGGTGAAAGGCACTGTTGCAGATTTTCTTCCACTGAATTGTCTTCTGTGTGGTCAACATTAAAAGGTTTTCTGTTATAGTCAGTTGTAACTCCTTTTAGGGCTCTAGCATTTAGGTCCTGTGACTCCGTATCACTTTTATTACTAGCTATATGGGATGAACAGAGGTCATCAGAATGGGCTTTTTCAGTTTGGATCTGAACATCACTCAAGCTACTATCTATTTCTTCGGCTTGTGATGTCTTATAAATAAGCTTACTTACTGCAGATGAACTTGTATTAGGATGTAAACGAGGATCATTTGCAGTGAAATCCTTTTCAAAATTTTGTGAAGTGTCCTTAGTGAAGCTTTCAGGATACACCGTGATAAGTACATCTGCCTTTTTGTTGTTTAATAAGAAATTTTTTTCCATCTTCTTTTTACTACTAGTATCCACATCGAGCATTGAACTGGAAGCTTGAATGCCACACTGCTGGTGCTTAACAAGTAAAGTGTCTTGACTGCTGTTATCTGGTAAAGATACATGCTTTGACATGCACACAATATCTGTGATTGGCTGTATCTGGGACGAGCAAAAAGAATGCAGTGGCAAAAATTCTGCCAATTCCTGTGATGTAGAACTTGCTACGTTTTCAGCCTGCTGGGGGGAAAGTTCAGAAGTTTTTTGTTCTTTTCTGATCTTATTTTCAGGATTTTGTATGGCTGGAATAGTTGTTGCATCTTGTTCACAGCTTGCATAATTTGAACAGGAGGATTCACTGTTTAATAGGTTAAATCTGTCCAAAGGCATATCCCACGGTTTATTTGATGGTATAATATTATTCTGACCACTCGGCTCCAAGGGTGTATGAATTTCTCCTGATGGACTTAACAGAGCAGCATTTTTAAAAGCTGTATCCGATGCACTGGATTTGTTTGTAACTGGTCTAGCAGGGGATGACGGAGAACTGGAAAACATATTTGAAACAATACTCTGAGAATCCTTTTCAGATAAGCTACAGCATTGAGCTTCATGCTTAGGAGAGCAACTATGACTCTGAGTTGAGAGGGAAGCACTGTGATTATTTTCATCCAACCCTCTGGACTGTTTGTTGTTTTCATAAACAGCTGGCATACTACATCTTCGTACTTCTACAACTGGCCTACAGTCATTCAGAACAAATTTAACATCTTCAACTGATGGTGATCTAACATAAGTTGGTGGAAGTCTGGTTGAAATCGAAGTTTTACAGCGCTCTGGTAGTTCTGATAAGCTGTCATTCTCATGATAAGCAGGTGACTTGGCACTAGGCAAAAATGGTGAATGTGAAAAAGACATCTGAGAATCAGATCCTTCAAGCATAAAGTCTGAATCATATTCAGTTGTGGGTCTTGGAGGAGTCACTGTTGTATGGCAAGAATCCTCTGAGCTAGCAACTGAAATCATAGACACTGATCTGGATGTTAGTCCTGTCTTTTCACTTTCTGATCTTGGGGACCTACTTACACTATTGTCCAATAATACTAATGGTTTACCCCCAGCTATTAAATTCTTTGTATCAACAGAGAGTGACCGACCACCCGTAGCATCCTTCGGCTGCTTATCCTTCATGCAAGTATCCGACAATTCTGAACTTTTTGAACGAATCAGCTCTTTGTTTTTTGAGTCAAGTGGATGTTTTGTTTTGTCCTTATCTTTTATTTTGCTAAGTTCTGAACAGGATCGATTCTTTAACCGTTCTTTTTCTTTTTGTTTTATCTTTTCTTTATGTTTTCTGTGCCACTGTTCAATTTCGAGATCTTTAAGGCTAAGCATTCTTTCAAAGCTGGTCTGCATCAAATCATCATTTAACAATCGCTTTTCTTTAGGTCGAGTATCTTTAGGTGTTGGTGCTGGTTTAGATTTAAACTTTTCCATTTCAGGCTTTAACTTAAGCACACTGTTTTGCTGCATTTTTTCCTTATGTTTGTCACGTTCTTTATATCTATCAATATCTTTATCTTTTTTATCTTTCTCTCTTCCATCAGGAGTTTTTAGCAATTCATCTTTGGGTTTCTCTTTTAAGGACAATATTTTTTCAACATTACATTTCTTTTCTTCTGGTGCATGCTTTATATTTGCCACTGAACTGTCCCTTTCTTTGGATTTCTCTTTTTTCTCCACTTCCTTTTCTTTGCTTTTCCCTTTTTCTTGCTTTGAATATTCACCATCTTTCTCAGAAACTTTAGATTTCTTTTCATTGCTTGGTTTTTCTTTACAGTCTGTCAAGTGTCTATCATTTTTTTCTTTGTCATGCTTCTTGTCAGCTTTCTCTTTGATTTTTTCCCTGTCATCAAGCTTTTTAATAGTAGAACTTTTTAATTTTTCACTTTCTTTGTGAGTTTTTTCTGTTTGCTGAATATATGATTTTTCTTTTTCTTTTGTCTTTTCTACAAAAGTTTCACCTGACTCCAATTTCTCTTTTTCTGATTTATGTTCACATTTTATTTTTTTCTCTTTTTCCAAATATTTTCTTTCCACTTTTTCAGTAGTAGAGTAACGTTTCTCAAGTTTTTCTCTATGTTCCTTTGTACTTTTTTCTTGCTTTTCAGTGTCTGCTTCTCGGTCTACCGAACATAAACTTGTTGCTATATCCTTAACACCTGAACATGTTTCTGTTTCTTTATCAGTGAACATAATCTCTTTTTCTTCCTTTGTATCTTTTGTTTTTTCCTCTTTATCGCTTTCTTTTTTATTTTTCTCCCTCTCTCTCTCCTCCCTAAGATTTTTCTCTTTGTGAAAAGTTTTCTCTTTCACATATTTGTCATCTTTAATCAGAACTTTCTCCAGCTTAGACTTCCTTTCTGATATTTGAGATTCATAGTCCAAACCTGACATATCATCTGCCTCATCACTTTTAAAAAAGTTCTCTTTCCAAAATTCTCTGTCAAACTCAGTATTCCTTTGGACCTCCTTAGTACTCTCCCTATGTTTGTGCTTTTCCTTCTCTCCCTCCTGCTCTTTCTTGTGTTTATCTTTTTCCTTTTCTTTATGTTTCAGTTTATGCTTTTTAAGTATTTTTCCTTCCTTGTCAGTTTTTTTCATCATACATTCAGAGCTTTCAATGGATGAGCTATTATCTTCCTCTTTTTGTTTAGGACTAGATTTGTCGCCAAACTCTGAAAGAAACTCCTTCTGATGCTTACTTTTGTCTTTGTTCTTGTAGGACTTGCCACTGGGATTTTCTAGTAGAAACTCTGAATCTGTATTATGGTCATATCGAACTGATTCAGACTGTGATGGTACTTCTGATCCCCCTGGGGATAAACATGTTTTAACATTTTCTTGTTTAAGTGCCGTTGATTGCTTTTCAATTAACCCACATGGATTCTTGGGGGATCTGCCAGCAGTAATATGGAGTAATGGTAAAGAAGAATCGTCTTTTGGACTAAAAGATTTTCTAAAATTTTCTTCTTCTCTGCTTTTGTCAAATGACTCTAATATAGATACCCCCAGGTTTGTCACTCTGGAGTTATCTTTTTCTAATTTTAATTGCTGGTTCTCCTTATTTTTGCTCTGATTTTTTACTTTTCTTTTTACTTTTCCTTTTTGCTTATATTCATTGAAAGCATATTCCTTTTTAATCTTTATATCAGAACTTGATGTTTCTGTGAAAGTACATGAAGGAGAGATGATCTTTTTCTCTTGAACAGTGTCTTCATCTGAACTTTCAGAAGTAGAATACAATACTCGAGAGGGCTTCTGTTTTTTATTCTTAAATGATTTTGGAAATGATGTCTTCTCCTGCTTGAGAAATAAGCTACTCTGTTCAACTTCAGATTCATCCTCTTTTCTCAAATCTTTCCGAGGTATTAGTCTGTCATCAATCATTTTCTTAACTTCATCTTCATCTTCATCTTTGAACTCATATTCATCAAGAGCAGATGAAAGTGGTGCCTTATTAGAAACATGTTTGGTGTCATTAACCAGACATTCTTTCTCTGTCTCAGAATCCATATTTCCATCTATACTGGAAGGATTTACAGATGGTGTCTCTTCAAGATCTAGAATAAAAATAATTAAAAAAAAAGATTTATGGGGATTCTTACTTAGGTCTTATGTATTTCTAGGCATACAATTTTATTTAGATTAGTCTAGATTATTGTAGGATATAAAGATGCACATAAACTTGGATCCTCAGGGAAAACCCCAGAATATTTGTTCTTCTGATTTTATTGCAGCACAGCACGGTACCAAAGAATTTATCCAAATGGTTGTTGTAGGTTATAGACAAATACTCAATAATCCCACACACTACACCGGAACACAGAGTTCTAGTTCCTGTCCTCTGAAGATGCTGGCCACAGAGACTGGTGAAACGTTAGGAAGAAAAACCTCCAGAACACGGCCAAACAGCCCCAAAAACCTACAAAACCATTAGATACTAGCCGTGAAAGCCTTCAAGAATACAATTTATCCAAATCTTTGTCAAGAATTTGCTTTGTCAAGAATTTGCCACATGTTTAATTGTTATAATGGAATTTTAAAAATACTTTCATCATACTGATAATCCTATTATTTTGGCATCTTTCACAGAATGTCTTGTGTAATATATAATCTTACGCGTACCTAATCAAACTCAAATCCTATTAAGTGCAATAGGCTTACTCCTGTGTAAGGTGATGCAGGATTACAACATTCCAGAGAAAATGGCACTTCATGCTAGTAACTGTTAGAAATGTTGCCTAATTTTTATTTAAAGTTAACATTCTTCAAGCTTTGAGCAGTGAGTGAATAATATAATCACTTCGTAATATTGTATTTAATTATCAATGCCCATTTTGGCAAAAATAAAAAGGTCACATATTAGTGCACCCTCTCCGTTATCCCAGTACAACTCAAACATGAAAAAAATAAAATAAAAAGCACCCAAATGCTAGAATAGACTGAGGCTAAGTATTTTTATTAAAACATGACATCTTTACATCCAAATCTTCCAGTTTCTGTGGGCTGCTGTTACTGAAATTATCCCACTGGGGCTCAGCTTCATTCGGGCTGATAACAGAAGACAAAAGCATCAACATGAAACCATTAAGTGAAGTCAACTGGAAATTTTGAATCCTCCAGTACCTAAGTGACACTAGGAACTGTTTCTTTTTCTCTTCTAATTTAGAAAAGATGCCATGAACTCAGCAGAGAAGTCCTCCAGCAAGGATCCCATTATTGAACACTCCTATCCCTGATACGGTGGAAGATGTGCTTGACCCTGGAAATCCTGAACTCTTATGGACCTTTGAGAACCCAGGAATCTGAGGCTACGAATAATGGAAGCTCAGGAGATGAATCCAGTGATGTAGGATGACTTTCCAACCCTCAGGAATGAAGAAGGCTGAAGGCATGAGTCTGATTTGGAGCCCCAAGGCAGACTGCTCAACTGTAGTGAAAGTCTCCTGGTACTTTCATGATTCCTCATGTGCAGGCCCTTTCCTCCAGGGAGACTCGGGCCAAACCCTGCCACTTGTTCTTCCCTTGGCACCTGAACACCTGCCACCAGGTGCTAGGTGGGGCTATAGCAGCTCAGCTAGAAAACAGCCTTCAGTAAGCTCTGCAAGCTGCTGGAAGCAATTTACCTGATTACCTCTGCCTTGGCCCTGTGTGCCTTAATCCCTTACACTAGGTTGTCTGGACCTTGCTTGACCATTTGGACTGTTTCTTGGACTATAACTTTCAATTGCTCTGCCTAGGTATCTGTGACAGCGAGCTTTACAGTCCCAGCTTCTCCTGCTTCATCCTTTCCTTGGTCTGAGACTTTATTAGCTGGTAACTTCACTTGCCTCACCCAGTGTGGAACAGGACAGCATGGGGGAACAGCTAGCCCAGTGGTCAACCATAGTAATTGACTATATGAAGGCCACAGTAATATAATAATCTTAGAGCTGCAGAGCTATGAATCATCAAATCCAGCCCCTATCAAGGAGGCACAGCAGGGAACTGAACTCCCAACCTCTGTATCCACAACCAGAGCTATCCAGCAGTTGGTCTAATTCATGTAAGCTGGAGGGAGTCCATCTGTTCAGATAACCAAGATTTATACTGTTTTGGATGAGACGGATGCAGAACCAGAATGTGTTAAACAATGGAAGACATAAATAGACAGGGGGCACAATGTTCCTAGCCTAGCATGGTGGCTGAGCACATGCTTTATATAGAAAGAACCAATGATAAATCTCCAGCATTTCAAGGAAGAGTCAGAGAATACCACTGTCTGAAATATTACAGTAGCATGGTTACACAATGTAGACAGTACTGAGGTTGTCAGACAAGTAGTCTGACTCAGTAGCCCCTCCAGTTCTAAAAGATTCACTGCTGGGAAAAGAACCTTACCCTAATTTCCTGGAAAGATGTAGGCAGTCAGTGCAGACAATATTGGCCTGGCTGGATCAAACACTTGACATTGTAAGGAAGATTAATATCAACTAGAGGTCTGTGCTTGTGCAGTGGTCAGGAAATAAATAGTAAAATGATAGACAAGCTTTATCCCCATCATGATTTTATCCCCAGTATAGTTCTTTACTCTCCATATAGCCATGGATAAAGCAATGGATAAAGATGTGACTAAACTTGCTGGCACTGTTGCTTGGATCTGAAGCATATTTTGCTCCATTTCAACTGTGACTCAGGTTAAAGTACATTTACTTTGTTCCATGAACTTCAGTGGGAATCACTAAAAATGGTGTCACCTGTATAGTCCTCACTTGGGTTGTGTCTTGGTTCTTTTGGAATATAATTCAATATTTGGAAATAGTATACATATAAATGCTTGTTTTTAACTATATAAAGAAATGTAAAGAATTCTAACCTGAACCACCATCTTCATCATCAGAAATCGGAACTTCTCTTTTCAGTAATAATTCCAATTCTTCTGTTTCTGCAACATCAACAGGTCTTTCTCCATGTTTATTGGCCTGAAATGGATTTCCACCATGTCGAAGAAGCAACTTCACAATCTGGAACATCAGGTATATTAAGATCACATATCATGTAAGGCAAATTGGTATTTTTAATTCTTCTAATGTTACCTCTTTAAGTCCCAATATCTTTCTTTGAGGCATCAGACATGCAATTAAGACTGTGGACATCCAAATGGCCACTTATCAGACAAAGGCAGCCTAATTTGCAAATGTCCTGACAACAAGTGTCTGCCTTCAGTATTACTTTAAATTGTAAAATGTGCACTTTTTTATTTTTATAATGTCATATGCACTTATAACCTTATGTAAATGAATAATGGTAAGTGAACAGTACTGAAAACAACATACCACATAACCTAGAACTCTCCATTGTGACTGCTCTAAAGCAGTTTGGAGACTGAAATCAATGTACCACATAATCTGGAACTCTCCCTTTTGAGTTCTTTAAAGCATTTGGCGACTGTTGCCAAAAACAAAATATTAAGCAGTATGAAGAGTCATGTATATGTGACTGTTCAATCAGCCTTGTTCAACCTGGACAGTCCTATAGCAGCACCACAAAAAAGAACTGAAAGCTACCTCTGAGTACTTTATACCTAAAGAAACTTGGCAAGGGTCACCATACATTGGAATCAATTTGACAGGACATCATCAATGTTATTAATTATATACAGAGCAACCTTACAGACACATTCTATTAACTATAAAAATATTTTGCAGAATTCAAGACATAACCAGCACAGAATTCAAGACATACCAGCATGATATTTCAGATACTGGCTGTTTATCAGTAAAAATGTTAATTCTGCCACTTATGTTGTTAGTGTTTTACTAAGGAGTGACAGACAAATATCCCTTTCCTCCATGCTAGAAAGATGTGGCCTCAAAACGAAATTCTCAGGAATGGAAGTAGAGCTTTCATGAGTTCAGGACTGATGGCCCCTCTTTTCTTGGCTCATTTGGGTTCAGCGGCAGGCCTCTCAAGGGGAATGGTCATCAATGTTAGTATGCATGGCAGTTTGTTGGGGATGGGAGAAAAGGTAGGGGACAAGAATGAAATAGAAGAGAAGGAGGAAGGATTATGAAGGAAGGAACAACAAGGCCTGCTATTTGGCAAGCTATCCTATACAGCAGAAAGAGTAAACGGTTTGACTATATGAAATTCCAAGAAAGATATGGGTGAGAACAGGTTGGATGGCTCACTCAGGAAATCAGCATTCAGTCTAGACAGTATTCTTGCAGCTGCCTCAGGGCTCCATCAAACAGGCTTTTGTCCTGCTGTTTGCTGTGCTGTGGAGGTGAGTTGGTTTGTTCTTTCTGGCCATTTGACATCCTGATTGCTAGAGCAAACCAAAGTGTCCCCAGAGTGCCCCAACCTACCCTTTTTTGAGCCTATCCCCTGCAATCACTGGGAACAGACCAAAACTTGCAACTATTAAAGCTGCCAAAGCTCCTTCTGCTATCAATTTCTGGTATCACAAAGTGCCTTAATAAGTTGGCACTTTGGGATATCAGCAATTGAACACTTCCCTTGCTTTTCTGTGAAGGAGCAGGGAAAGTGAAATTATTATTATTATTATTTGCCTCTGCTAGACCATCATTGATCTGCTGAACCACTCAGGTTAAATTTGAAAAATACTTTCTTTGCCTTTGTGTGAAGTACCAATAGAAACTGCAGCTGCAGGCAGTTTCTCAATCAGCACTACATACCAGAAAAGAAAAATATTTTTAAAAAATGTAATCTAAGTGATTCAGAACATCAGCGATGGTCTAACAGATGCCCCCCAATCACTACCCCTGTCTCTCCACAGAGGAAGTGTTTAATTTGCCAATACCCTGAAGTGGTACACTGATTAAGTCACTTCACAATGCTGGAAGCTGACAGTAGAACCAGACTAAATTGAGTTGCTTGAGGTTGGTATACTATTTGGATGCAAGGTTTGCACCAAATGGCATATTGCCCTCCTTCTCTATTTAGAATGCACCAGCTCACTCCCAAAGGGCCAGTGCAGTTGCAGTCTCTGTTCAGCATGGAGACTCTTCCCTGCTTTGTGTGAAGCAGTACTCACCATTCAAACCTAGGATTCCCTGTAGACTAAATGAGAGCTGTTCTATGCTAGGAGTGTTCCTGCAGTCTCTGTGCTCCTATTTTCTATAATTTGACACTGAGGCTAAGGGTTGGGAGAGATGATTGCCCATGGTTTTGTCTGCTACGAAAGTCATGGTTAAAAACCACTCGGTGGAGACTGGAATGTGTAGTTTTAAATCATGGCAACTACAACTCTTTTGTCCATTTTGAGATAGGCCCACAAAAGGTCAATGGGACCATATTTGCTTTTCCCCCTCAGTTTGATGTAAATTCCATTTTCTGCTTCTATGAGCAGAAGCAAACATTATAGATAACCTGCAATTAGAGCTGGAAACAAGTCAGTGTTGGAGATGACTGAAGCAGCTTTTCTGGTTAAGAAATCAACAGCTATCTATCTTTGTTTCTGTCCTCAGTCTGTGTGCTGTTGAGTTATCAGCATGTTTGTGACTCCCCTTGCGATAGGTCCTACAACCTTCTCCTGGTTACTTGTCAGAAGATTCTTCTCCCCTCTGCTGGGTGATGTCTTTGACCCAGGAAAACCGTGTTTGCTCCTCACAGCCCTTTTGCCCACTGAATTATGTGGCTGCTGTAGGCTTCCTTCCTTCTTCTGAATGTTATGTTTCAGAATCATGAGTGTGAGCAAGAGAAGAGAATGTTAGACCCTATGTCTACATATACCTTAGGATCTCCAGTACTAGGATTGTGGTTTGCTGTACTACTGGGATTGATAATCTGGGACAGAGTTACATCATGTTCAGATGCAGGAGTGTGTGCTTCTCACTATAAGTTCATGGGTCTCCCTATAGGCAGGTGGTAATTACTGCAAGCACAGTCATTGACTGACAGGTTCTGGTGGTTCTTCCAGGAATAATGGAGGCATTTTTGTCATCACTTCTGAACATCTTTTGGGCTGAGTAAATTTAGAAAACAATGGGTAGTCTTCTAGCATAATTCCATTATCATACCCCTGGCCCAAGGTGTGCCTGTATTGCTCTGCTAGACAATATTTAAATAGCTTAAATTGCTACACCAACACATGGCTTGGTTGTTCATTTACTACTGAATGGTACCTACCTTTCTATGTCCACTACTTGCAGAATCATGGAGTGGTGTATCATCATCTAGTCCTTGAGTATTCACATCTGCCCCTGCTGCTATCAAGACCTTTGCAACATCATAATAACCAGCATTACATGCTTCGTGAAGTGGTGTCCAACCTATTAGACAAGACACCAAGGTATCTGTTTTAATACTTTCAACATCAGGTCAGCATCAGCAGGATTTTATTAAAAACAATTTTAAACAAAACTTGGAGATAACAATATCTTTTAAAGTTTTTACTTAAAAACAACTTCAGCTCTACTAAAAGGCATGTGCCCAGCTCAATCCAAAAGGCAACACCAAGAATTTTTACCAAGTGTGGCAGACTTCTAGAGACTACAGACTAATCAAGGTGCAGATTAACCCATTAGTGTGCATTCACAGAGACCACGAAGGAGAGGTGATGTTTCTTCTACCAATTTCCACTCTTCATCTGAATCCAGCCTGGCCTTCTATATAGTTATGTTCTACATACAGACTGGGGATAAAATCCACCCTTATCTGATACCTTTGATGATAGGAAATTATTCTGTCTCTCCATACTTTGTCGTAATATTTATGTATTTATTTATTTTTCTTATATGCTGCCCACACTACTCAAAGGTTTCTGGGTGGCTTACAACAATTTGAATACAATAAAAAGATAAAATAATTAAAATGCAATTAAAAATACAATGCTCTAAAAATTGCCATCAGGACCCACAGTTGATATTATTTCAATTAAAAACCTTCTGGAACAGGAAGGTTTTGACCGGGCGATGAAACGTCATCAACGTCGGTACCAGACGAATCTCCCTCACGATGGCATTCCATAGTCTGGGAGCAGCTGCTGAAAAGGCCCTTTGTCTACAAACACATCCCTCTTACCTCCTTGAGGGATGGCTCTTTCAGGAGGGCCCCCTGGCTAGATCTTAATTCCCAGGAGATTCATATGGAAGGAGGCGGTCCTTCAGATATTTAGGGTCCAAGCTGATTAGGGCTTTATACGTCAAAACAAGCACTTTGAATTGGGTCTGGGCAGCAACTGGTAGCCAATGTAATTTAAACAGAATTGGCCTGAAGTGTTGAACCACACCCACTTCTTTCAGAACAAACCATAGTTTCTCATGATCTACACAAACTGATTTAAAAAAATACTCAGTTATCCAAATGTTTGTATTCTAACCACTTATCAACTTGTAACTGGATAAATATATCCATAATGGATAAATATATCCATAATTACCACCGACAAAGTTTTTCATTATGTTATTTTAATCAGATCTTAGTATTTTTTGAAAACAAGATTATAAAGCAATTTTGTATACAACTACTGAGAACAAACTGAAAGCTTTTGAAAGCACAAACAAAAGAAACAGATCAAAATTTTGATTAGAGTTACAGCACTAAAATAAATTTGATTGAAATAATCTATGCAATCACGATCAAGTATGGAATCACAACATATTTTATTTCATATGCACACTGCAGGTTAATCTTATGACTCAAAAACAGTTTGACATAAGACAATAAAGGACTAATAATTTTAATAATTGTAAAACAGGTCAGTCTTTTTTTTAAAATCCTACTTTTGAAACTTACCTGCAAAATCTTTCACATTCACATTTGCGCCTAGACTGATTAACTCTTTAACTTGTTTAACATCACCTCTAATGGCTGCTGTATGCAAGGGAGTTTCCCCTCGTTCATTTCGTTTATTAACTTTGTCTTTTTGTCTTGAAGAAGAACTGGGTGTTTTCTTTTGTGTTGGTGTTGTCTGTACAGGATGGTTTAGATTGGGATCTAGAAAATAAATGTCAAGATGTGAAATAAATAAAAAGACTCAATGGAACTTTTTTGCTGAAGTCATTTGACTCTAGAATAAGTGATCACTCTTCGTACTTGTGGAGCAAGAGAGCTTTAATATCGTTCCGGCAAAACAAGTTCCTAAAATTCCATACTATTCTACGCATTATAAAATAAATGAAATTATAAAAGCAAGTGTAGCAATCACCCTGCTTTGGCTCAGGTAGAAGATTATTGGCATGTACCAATGAGAGCTGTTGGGAGGCGGAGCCAGAGAAACTAGGAGGGAGGGGTGAATCAGAGTTTAGTCAGAGACAGAGATGGTTTGGGTTTGAGGCAGAGAGAAAGTGTTTAAGGAGTGATTAGTCAGAGTGTGACCTGTATCAATTAAGACAGAAGAGGTTAAAGTAAAATACCGAAGCTTTGTGTAACTTTAAGAATGTGCTTAAGAACTATTCCTAAAACAACTTGTAATCAATAAACCTGGTTCTGTTTAAAAGTTCAGTACTCAATGGACCTCAGTCTTTCATAGGAAATATAGGCTGATAAAGAGATCAACTGGTGGCAGCATGTTAAAGGGTGTGTTGGGGTACTTGTGTAAGCTCTGTGTTTGGTGAAATAAGCAGGGGCTACAGGGCAAATACCACAATTGATGTCCAGTGGCGGGATATGAAATAATCCAGTGAACCAATGTTTCAAAGTGAATTTTCTGGAGTCGTGGGTATCTTTTAGTCAGAGGTCTGTGGTGAAGAAGTGGGTGATCTGCTAGAGCTTTTGTGGAAAAACTTAGTGGCGGTGCTTCTGAACACAGATCTGGAGGGAACTAAAGATAGGGAACTGACTCTAAAGGAAAAAACTCTTTTTGTTTACATCAGGTTTTGAGAGACCCAGTGGGCTAGCTTGAAATCCAAGGCTCTAAGAGATAAGGGAGCAGTGTTGGATAAGAGCAGAATCCCAGGTTAGAGCAGATCTGAGGTGATAGGAAAATGAAAGCAGAGGCATGAAAATAAAATTACTTTGGTGTCTGAGAGCAGGAATAGCTCCAATATAGAGAGACACAGTAACTAAAAGGTTGTTAGCCGGAGAACAGCCAGAGAAAGAGCTGCTGAGTGAAGCACAACAACATAGTACTGGAATTAACAGCAGAAAGACAGGTACTTTTTAAAAGCAGTATAGACACTGAAGACTGATTCATTCAGACTTAAACATGCCACCCAAACATAGCCAAAAGGGAGTAAGGAGGCAGAAAGTTTACCTCAGAAAGTGGAGGGAAATGGAGACCCTCTAGCTCCAGTGGAAACAGGAGGAAACTAATGAAAATGCCTCAGAAAGACAAGGTGTCCTAAGCTCCCAAGATTTTGAAAAATGGAAGTTGGAACAAGAATTCAGGCTTAGGGAACTAGAGCTCAAGGAGACAGCTGAGGCCAGATAAAGAGATATGGAATCTGAGCAAGAAAACAGGCAAAGGGAAATGGAATTTCAAATGCAGATGAAAAAATTAGAATTAGCTGCTCAAAATAATAACAATAATAATAGCAACTCTAGTGAGGAAAATCTCTCAAAGATCGATCTAAATAAATTTCCCCAATATAGGAAAGGAGATTGCCTGAATCTTTCCTGATATCATGTGAGAGAGCGTGCTGGGACTCTGACATTAAGGATAATGAAAGGATTATAGTTTTGAGATCACAAATAAGTGGAGATTTAGCTGAGCTTTATTCTCAGATGCCTCTGGAGCATGCTAGAGATTTTGAGGCATATAGAAAAATGGTATATTCTAGATTTGGCAGCAATGTAGAACACCTTAGAAGAACATTTTGTTCCCTTACCAAAAAGCCTGAAGAATCGTATGCCCAATTGGGGGTTCAACTGATTCAATGTTTGGAGATACCCACAACTCCAGATGGAACGTGAAAATGTCACTTCTCTATAGCAAATGAAAAATGTGGTTGGTTTAGAACAATTTTATTCCATTCTGCCTGGGGAATTGCGTTATTTAGTCAAAAATCCTAAACGTTTATTACAGGCATCTGAATATGCTGATTCCATTAGTGAAGATTAGGGATCCTAAATTTTCTGAGGTAAAATTTTACAGGCAGATCTGGGACAACAGTATGAAACCCTTCAATAAAAACTTCAACAGTGTGGTGTCAGGAAAAGATGGCCAGCTTAGTACCTCACCTAAGTTGCCAGGGCCTAGTCCGCAGAAGCGAATGAACCCTGAGGAAAAGTTTGACAGATCTCCTCAGTATGATCGAAGCACTTACAGTGTTAATAACTGCGACAGTTTGGGCATGTTCAATCAAATTGTATGTGCTTTCTTATAAAGGCAGATAATGTTTTACTGCAGAACCCTGGTGAGAAAATTCTTATTAATGAGAAATCTTATGTGGGGGTTGTTGATCTCTGTTCCCATATAACCCTGTGTTATCCTGATGTGGTTCCTAAAGAACAAATACTTCCAAATCAAACTGTCACAATCAAGGGAATAAGTTCTATGCCAGTGATTCTACCTATAGCTAAAGTAAAGATAAATTATAGAGAATGGGTTGGAATTTGGGATGTAGCAATTTCTGATCAAATATCCACACCTTGTTTGATTGGATTAGATCTCACTAAGCATGTGCAGAGTGCTTTTGTAGTAACACATTACCAGGGAGAGCAGTTAATCCTTGAGAGGAAAATGGAATCCCTAACTTCTGAAAGTAATCTGGAAAGCCCCATTTTAAAAGTGAACTCTGACGTGGATGAAATGGCAGAAGTTATATTTATGAAAAAACCTAATAATTTGTCTTTTGTTAAGTAACAGTAGGATACCACCCTTACGCAGTGCTTTGAGAAAGCTAAGGGATCTCCTTTTCATTAATGCCTGAATGCCCAGAGAGATTTATAGTAGAAAATAATTTGTTATATAGGGAATTTTTGTTAGCGCCTCAGAGGGATGGAGATAGAATCCTCAAACAACTTATTGTAAAATATACAGGCAAGATCTTAAGCAAGGCGCATAATGATGCTTTTGGAGATCACATGGGAATATTGTGTACCAAACAAAGGGTTGCAACGAACATTTACTGGCCAGGAATGGGTCAGCAAGTTAAGCAGTTATGTCAGATATGTGATACATGCCAAATGAGTGGTATTGAGAATGACAAGACAATGGCTAAACTATGCTCACTGCTAGGGATCGACCCCTTGCCAACGCATGGGTCTGCAAAAGACCTTAAGAGATAGAAGGGCAAAGCCTGGGGAGTGCTCAAGAAAAAAAGGGGCTGGTGTGTCGAAAAGGCCCAGGAAAGAGCATTCTGTCCTGAGGACAAAGTAATGGGGCTGAGACCCATTTGTTGTTTAGTTGTTTAGTCGTATCCAACTCTTCGTGACCCCATGGACCAGAGCACGCCAGGCCCTCCTATCTTCCCCTGCCTCCCGGAGTTCTGTCAAATTCATGTTGGTCGCTTCGATGACACTGTCCACCCATCCCATTCTCTGTCCTCCCCTTCTCCTCTTGCCTTCACACTTTCCCAACATCAGGGGCTTTTCCAAGGAGTCTTCTCTTCTCATGAGATGGCCAAAGTATTGAAGTCTCAGCTTCAGGATCTGTCCTTCCAGTGAGCACTCAGGGTTGATTTCCTTCAGAATGGATAGGTTTGTTCTCCTTGCAGTCCAGGGGACTCTCAAGAGTCTCCTCCAGCACCACAATTCAAAAGCATACTTTCTTTGGCGGTGAGCTTTCTTTATGGCCCAGCTCTCATTTCCATACATCACTACAGGAAAAACCATAGTTTGACTATGCGGACTTTTGTTGGCAAGGTGATGTCTATGCTTTTTAAAATGCTGTCTAATTTTGTCATCGCTTTCCTCCCAAGAAGCAGGCGTCTTTTAATTTTGTGGCTGCTGTCACCATCTGCAGTGATCATGGAGCCCAAGAAAGTAAAATCTGTCACTGTCTCCATATCCTCCCCTTCTATTGCCAGGAAGTGATGGGACCAGTGGCCGTGATCTTAGTTTTTTTTAATATTCAGCTTGAGACGGTTCTTTGCACTCTCCTCTTTCACCCTCATTACGAGGTTCTTTAATTCCTCCTCATTTTCTGCCATCAGGGTGGTATCATATGTGTGGGAGTCTGCTGACTTCATTACAGCTGAGTGAGGAGGTCACATATGCTGAAGATAGCATCTGTCAAATGCTTACTAACAAAGTTAATCTGTTACTAACAAAGTTAATCTGCCCATGAGCTAGCTGTTGCTAGGCAGAATGTACTCGACACCCTATTGGCTGTAATGTCATATCCTGTGTAACCTAAGTACTAAATAAAAGGAAGTGCTGGGCGTTGCCATGTGGCTTTTTTCCTGCAGACACGACCGAGCATGCTTTGTACCTGATTCTTTGACTGCAGTCTCTTCTTTTCCTCAGAGATCTCTCCCTCAACTGGGCCACTGGTGTTGGAGCTGGACTCCAACAAGTGGTGTCCTGTGAGAGGCTCGACAACAGAACCAGCTCTTGCTCACCCACGCCCGGCAAAGGTTACAGGCATGCCACGCATCTTCGGATCCCGGGTGTTTTTGTTCAATTAGGACACAGCCATCATGGGTTCATCATTGTCTTCAGCTCAGAAACAATATGTAGACAACCTCTTCTATTTGCTAACTAAAAATGGACACACAGTCACAAAGAAGGAGGTTGAAGATTTAGTTTCCGCCATAGATGATGTGTGTCCTTGGGTGCCAGAAAGCGGCACGATAAAACTGAAGGATTGGTGTAAAATTGGTTGCAACTTTCAGAATCATCCAAAAATTTCCTCGAGAGTGCTCTTTACATGGTGTAAGGTCTGTGCTTGTTTAAAAGGACTGACTCCCAATAACATCCTATTTGCCCAACAACAAGAAGCAGGCTGTTTTACTCTTCCTCCATTACCTCAATTGTTGCTGCCTGCTCCTACAGTGCCTTCAGCACCGCCACCTCATTATGAGCTGCAAAAATGTAAACCTCCTGATACTAGA